CGGCCCCCGGGAACGAGCCGGCCAGGCGCGCTGAACTCACAGCCTCCATCCCGAATCCGGCTGCCCCCGATCTCGAACCTGGCTGCCGCTGAGGCTCCCCTGGTCCCCGACCCCGCCTCCCTCGTGGTCTCAGTTGCGATCGCCTCGTCCCTCGTCCTGGCTCGGGGTGACACCTGACATGCCCTTGATGACTCGGGCGGTGGCGGGGAGGGTTCCCCTCTCTCCTGCCCGGAGTTTTCCAGGCCCTCCATTGTGGAAGTGTCCCTGTGCTTTGCACCAAGTCTCTTTGTCCACCCACTTCCCTGCTTCTTCCCAAAACATCCTCTCAGGAGAAACTGGGAGAAGTTTCCAGAAATCCAGGAGGGTGGGTTCGGACCCTGGCCTTTGGTTCCCTCTAGTCTTATTGTTGTAAGAACCACTTGGAGAGACCTTTTTGTAGGGGAAGAATCCAGTGGCTAGGGAGAATTGAGGGCAGGTCCCTGATGAACACTGAGTCGGGGGTCATATAAACCCCGGAGGAGGAATTCTGGACTGCTTAGCCTCTCTACCCGTTGGAGGACTCCTGGGATTTCACTGCTCTGCCTCTGGAGACTAGGATGACCCTACCGATGTTCAAAGGATAAGCTCTGACAAACAGCTCTCTGCACCAGCCTGGGCCTTGCACTCCCACAGGATTCCTCACCCACTCCCTCTCTGGAGACTGATAAGTGTAGACCACCCTAGGTGCCCCACAACCCGAGATGGACCTTCGGTAAGGGAAGGTAAGGGAACCTTCGCAGGTGTACAGAGATACAGATTCCCCAAGCAGAGATGCCGAGTCCAGGCTCCCAGGGCAAAGGTGTCTTGACCGGCAGCTGGATTCGCACAGCAGGATGAGGGAGGAGGGTGTTGCCAGAACAGAGGGAGTGGGCCCCTGCCCAGGTGTCTCCACAAGGCCACCAAAAGTCCAAAGATCTATATGTCACCAACTGATCATTGTAAATAAAGTGGATCTGCTTTTTCAGCCCTGTCACCACTTCTGTGTTGTGTTTGATGCCAGGCCTGCTGGGTAGAGGGTGAGATTATCATCAGAACCCAGAAGGGCAGGAGAAGTAGCAAGCTGAAGTCAATTTCCAACATTGAGGCCGTAGTGGCTGCTGAGAAGCTGTTCCTGTAATATCAGGGGAGGAGACCGTAACATATGCCTTGTCTGAAAACCACATGTTCCAAGCCCCCGAGGAGCATCTGTCTGTCTCAGCCTCCCACAGTGTCTGTACAACGTGCACTCAGACGCAAGTGTATCTGGGACACTTGGCAGGGAGGGAGCGCGGGCTGAACGATGGGCTTCTCGTGAGACGTGAGGTTTTGAGAGGCTTCGTGTTTCTATCACAGGATGTGGTATACATTGGTGTGTCCCCATCTGAGCGAGAGGGAAACAGGCTGTAAGGGAGAAGGAAGAACAACCCAGTTTTCTTTAAAAGGACTGGAGAAATCTGTCCAGACCCTCTGACGAGAGTGAGCCTTGAGATCAGTTATCTTCTTTATTCTTGTACTAGGCTGGGCACCCATCCCAGAGTTACCCAGAGCCCACATGAGTGGCTGCTGCTTTTGCCAGTGATCAGCATGATTGTTTCCCAGAACTGAAACCTGTGCAGGGTTGAGAGGATCTGAGGGGAAGAGCTGGGGCTGATTCCACCTATTAGGGTGTGGCGAGATGACCCACATGTCCGTTGCTTCCCTCTCCTTCCTTGCCAAGGCTTTGGTTGGTGTTTTTCCCATTTGCAAGAGGAGGGGAGGAAGTGAGCTGTCATGACCTGGGAGAGGATGATGGGCTGCAATGAGCCTCTCCTGTTGACTGAGAAAAACTCACCCAAAAATAAGGTCACCAGCACACCCTGTTCATGCAAGCAGCAGATATTTTATAAGGCACTTGGCTTACACCTGCCTTGCAGTTGGCACTGCGCTAGGTTGGGTGTCCTGGAGGCCCACTCCTGTGGCTCTTACTTCCTCAAATGAGACACACACCGTTAAAGGAATGGTTACTGGGTAATAATTCACAAGCCTGCTTCTAGCCTCTGCCCTTCTCTTTTTTTCCTCTGGCAGCCTGCCAACACAGACATATATATGCATGTACCGAACAGCTTGCCTCTATCCTTCACTCAAGCTTTGCTCCCTAGGCCTAGGATTAAAAGGCCTGAAAGTTGTTTTACTGGTCACATCTCCATTTTCAATGTGTATCAGCAGAAGGAAGACCCGGTCCTATATCCCTCCTCCAGCGGTCTGGGGGTAAGATAAGCCACAGTGAGCAAGCACAGTTCCAGCTCTGCCAGGCCAGTCAGGCTTGAGACTGTGCCAGCCACCTTGCACAGGCAACTTGCTATCTAGGAGTGTGCGAATGAGTGTGTCCATCTGTCTGTGGCCACACCCACTTCATCCACACTCTTCTTGCAGCATCCTCCCTTGATCTTAGACACAAGATAGAGAAAAGAGCCCTGGACAAGCAGTCAGGAAGCCTAGCGCACTGGTATCTCCTCTACTGATTTCAGATTCCTCATCTGTTCAATGAAATTGGAAGTGGGCTGGATCAATTGTTTTTAAACCACAATTCTTTTTTTGGTACCGGGGATTGAACTCAGGTCCTTGCTCTTGTGAGGCAGGAGGTGGAACCACTGAGATAAATCCCTGGCCCTAAACTGCAATTCTTGAATCCCAGATTTCCCAGGCGCTTCTGCAAAGAGCCCTGGGAAGATCAAATGGGGAGGCTCCCACACCCCGCTTTAACTAGAGTACGTGTTTTCTGTTTGGGGATTCTGTGATTCTTTTTTTAAATCATGGGATGTGATGCTCTCAAAACTCCCAGCCCTGAGGCTCTGAAGTCTGTCGACTGACTTGGCCTGAGATGTATTTTTGGAGCACTTAAGAGCTTATTAAACCACAGCAGTGGAGGGTGGGAAGTGAGTATCCAGTGAGGCCTGTACCTTGGGGGTCAAGACTCTTTTGGGATTTCTGGATCTAACTGATCTCTCATGCTCCTACTCGGGCTGAGCTGTGACTGGAACGGCGGTGCAGAGCCAGCGGCCCACCGGCCCATCCTGGTCCCCCTGCTCATCTCCCACACTGCCTGCCGCCTGCTAGGTGGAAATGCTTCCTTCCTGCTCAGACATCATCCCACATTCTACCTCCGGGCCTTTGCTCATTCTGTTCCCTCCACCTGGAATTCCCTTCCCATTGCTACACACTCTCAGCCCCACTCCTCCAAAACCCAGTTGCATCTCCCCAAAATTCCTTAATGCACACACCTCCTCCACTCTTGCCAAGTCTGGAGGTGTTCTCTCCCCTCACATCAAACTCATGTAGGACTTGGTGTGTGCTTTTCCCATGGTCCTCATCCTTAAAGTTCTTTTTTTTTATGTAAATGTCTTCTCTTTCCTACCAACCTCCCTTCCTTTCCCGCTGTCTTCAGTACCTTGTCCACCATAGGGCAGCCCTGGTGTTCAGTGACAATTTATTGAATGAATACATGAATGAGTGAGCCAGACGGAAGAGCCATCAAGGACCAGAAAACCAAGTGGGTGGAGAAGTGTTTTCTCTGCCAAGCTCCTGCCTGGAGATCTGAAGGGGAACTGTCCTCAGACGCCCCGTGCCGATGGCTGTTGACTGGGATGAGATCAGCAGCCAAGAGAACAAGGCCAGGGGAGGAAAGCCTCAGTTCTAGGCTCCGTGCTGAGTTCCAGAGCCACAGGCCTGGGCCCTGTCTCCCTGGGTCAGTCCCACAGCACAGGACTGACTCTCCGAATATAGAGCAGCTCCTGGAGATTCCCAACCACCCTCTGGACTGGGTGGGATTACACTGGATGTGGGTGGTGAGAGGACCATCTGGATAGTCACTGCTTCTATTTTAACGTGCAGACAGTCAAACCTAGGCTTTGAGAGCAGACAAGCTCCATGTCAGCCCCTCTGCTGCCATGTGATAGCTGTGTAACTTCAAGCTACCTCCTCAAGCCTTTTGGAGCCTTAGTAGCCCATTTAGAAAAACAGGGGTAGGTGAGTTGACATCTTAGATAGCTGGGAGAATGATGTAAGGCACTGCATGTGGATAATTTATTTAGCACGGTGTCTGGCGCAGCACACATCGTAAGTGGTAGCTGTTTCTGCTTCACCACAGGCCTAAGACAGATGTAGAATGAGGAGATGTGATGCCTGGTCTTTGAAACCCAGATGGGTTTGTCAGTTCATGTCCCCACGGGTCTACTCACCCAAGCCCCAAGTTCATTTCCAAACCACGGTGGAAGATTCAGTATAAAGCTCCCTTATGAACAACTCCTCTCGAGTTATTCAACCTCTAGAACGCCTGTCTTTTTTTTTTTTTTTCCTTAGCACCCAGCCTAATGCCAGGTACGCAGTGAACACTCAGAGGGGATGAATGAATGCGTGAATGATCAGCAGCCACCAGCAGCGATGTTGGCCTGCAAGCTTCCCAGCTCAGGTCTTCAGAGAGATAGGATGCCATTCCTTTGAAAGTAACAGGTTAGGTCTCAGAAGTGCAAGGTTCTGAGTTCAATTCCTGGTACACACACACACACACACACACACGCGCGCGTGCGCGCGCGCACACGCACGCGTGTGCTCGCTTCCCTTCCCGGTCCCTGTTTACCCTCAACTACAGGTTAAGGAAAAGAGGAAGATGATGCTGACCAAGGCAAAAGACAACTATGAAGGAGTAAGGGAGCTGGCACACAGCTCTGGGTAGACCTATCTTCTCTCATGCTTTGCTGTACTCCTGCTGGTCCTCAGAGCACATGTGGACCTATTAGTTGATCCAAAGTCCCGGAGCTCCATCACAGCTTCAGAGACCAGATGTTCAAGGGCAAGGATCTAGGAGGAAGCTGGAGTCCCAGCCATCATCAAACAGATCCCAGCTGGGAAGCTTGGCCAATGCTGCGGCATGCTGGAAACCCTGAGGAGACCTATGGACTTGGGCTATACCAAAAAGCACAGGTAGACGCTTGTTTTTACTGCCCTGCATCATCCATTCTCCCTGGTAATGGAGACTGCTTACTCTTCTGCCCAGACCCACCGCTGGAGTCTATTTTCAGTCTCCCCTATACTAAGATGTGGTCATGTGATTGCATTCTGGCCAATAGAATTGTGTGTGCCCTCTTCGGCCTAGATCATACGTTACCTGACTGTTGTTTTACTCCTCTGCGTTATGGTTTCCAGATGAATTGCCCCCCCGAGAGTCATGTAACAAGAGCTTTATCCCGAATGCAAGAATGTTCAGAGGTGAGCCACGAGGTGATTAGATCATGATGACCCTAAAACATAATGGATTAATCCAATGATGAGTTCATAACTGAGTGAGGTATTAGGAGGTGCAGTCCAGCTAGACAAAGTAGGTCACAGGGAACATGGCCTTGGGTAGGAGTCCCCAGCTTGTTACGAACCAGGATGTACGGCAGGAGATGAGCAATGGACAAGCAGACAAAGGCTCATCTGTATTGTAGCTGTTCACCATCACTCGTGTTACTGCCTGAGCATGGCCTCCTTCAGATCAGATGCGGCATTAGATTCTCAGGAGCACAAACCCTACTGTGAACTTCGCATGCAAGGGCCCTAAGCTGGGTACTCCTCATGAGAAACGAATGCCTGAGGGTCTCGAGAAAGACCTTGTCTCAAACAAAACAACAAAACAAAACAAAAAGAGTAGGAAAGGTTTATTGAGAGACAGCTTATACAGCAAAGTTATAGTGTGGGCACAACATGAGTCAAGCTACAATCAACTTCTAAGATTACAAGGATAGCTGCTTACCCGATATTGATCCAATAGGGAAACAAGTCACACAGCACTAGCATTTTTGGGAAGGGATGGGTCTGGATGCTTGGGTCACCCACCTTGGCAACTAATGCCTATCTGGACTTACTGGACCAGGGAGTACTAATTATAATATAATTTCATGTCATCCCATAAGGAGGCCCCTTCGTCTTGAGGCCCGGCCATCTTCACATGCTCCTCAGCCACGACGCTGATATCTTTATTTTCAACTGACTTCCTCGAGAGCCCAGTCCTTTTCTGACTATGTAACCATTTGATCTAATTTAACTCCCTATAATAACAGGACATTTAAATGGGATGGAAGATGGGAGGGTTTTGAAAAGCACGGAACACCAACTACCACGAAGGGTGCTTCCTTACTGGCTCTAAGAAGGCTGGCGCCAGGCTCCCGAGTGGAAGGTCAGCAGCTGCAGGGAAACGAGCGATCTGGGATGTGGAAGAGCAAACAGACGGCTACGGGGTTTCCTGGAGTGGAGAACGAGAGGACAGGAAGCGATCCACCGAAACTCCATGGTGGACTTTCAACATAGACTCTGCAGTCAGAGGAAGGAGCTAGGAGGCCCCAGGGATGGGAGGAAGGGCACTTGTCAGGAGCACGCCTGTGATCTGGCATCCCACAGGGACAGAGAACCGGAATATTCAGCACCCTCTGAGACAGGGGCGGGGACATTCCGATGAGATCAAAGTAGGCACAGCTCAGTCCCAGTACCTCACTGCGTCCCCACAGCACAGCAGATGCGGAGACACTGCCTCTCTTCAACCTTGTGCCAAAATCATAGAGGGCTGACTACCTTCTACCTTGGAGTATCCCCTTAGGGAGGAGCACAGGGAGGCAGAGGAACCTGGAAGCTTCTTCCTGTGAGACTGGTGTGGACCACTGTCCCTCAGTCCTTGGTCAGGAATCCACTTGGCCAAGTCCCTTTATTTCTCTGGATTTCGTCTCCTGCTCTCGAAAGTGAGGAATTTCTCAAAAGTGAGGATCCTGGCCGGGGATTTAGCTCAGTGGTGCCATGCCTGCCTGACAAGTGTGAGGCCCTGAGTTTGGTTCCCGGTACCAGAAGAAAATAAGAAAGAGAGGAGGTGTGTGTGGGGGGGGGTACCTGATGAGTACAGAAGTTGACGGCTCTAAACTTGGCAAACTCTGAAACTGCTACTTGATCTCCATGTTTGCCCCTCACAATTGGAAAAGAGGAACCAGGCTTCCTTCTGCATTTGAGGTGTAAACAATGTCAGACCCTGTGGAGAAACAAGGACTGGGAAAAAACTGGCCATCCTGTGGGTGAAGGTTTCACAGGCTGAAGTGGCCTGGCCATGATGGCCCCTTGCTCCAGGGAAGCCACCCAGTCAGTCGGAGTCGGGCCCAGTCCAGAAGGGCTGGGCATCCTGGTGTTACAGGCAGCTAAATTAGGTAGAAATACCGGAGGCGGTCAGACAGGGTGGGGCCCTGGAGGAGACCGATGCAGAGCAGAGAAACTTGGAAGCTGTGGCTGGAGGCACATCTAAAGAAGATTAAAGTCACAATGGCCAGATTCGCGCACTTCCCGGAGGGATGAGCAGAAGCTCGAGATTATCCCTACCGTCTTTTGGGATTTCCCACTGGGTGTGGGCCATTCTCTTCCACCCACTGAAACTAAGACCCTGAAGAGTAAGACTACTAAAACGAAAGATTATCAGCCTAGGTTAATGACCATCCATGTGCCCCTGTTACTATCAGTTCTATTCTACAGGATGTGAGACCTCTTTTCTACCTAAACCATAAAAGCACACCATCCCCAGCTGGGGATTTAGCTCAGTGGTTCCGCTGCCTGCCTCACAAGCACAAAGTCCCGAGTTCAATCTTCAGTACCAAAAAAAATTTTTTTAATTCCAGAAAAGCACCCCACCCTTTTATGTCCACCCTTCACGCCCCATCAAACCGTCTTCTCTCTCTGTCCCAAAGAAAGCTGTGACCACCAGATGAAAGGGGTCCCTGTATACTGCATAGAGAGGTGAACCCCACCCTCTACTTGATTAGACTTTACATTGGGCGGACGATTTATCACCGAGCTTGAACACCAATCATTTCAGGCAGAAAATAAAAGCCAGGGTGTTTAGAGAATCCCTTAAAGGTTTCTCAAAGCCCTGACTCTATTCCTTACTTTCTCCCACCCATCCTCTTCCAAATTCCCCCATTCATCCATATTTATTAGTCACTTTTCCTTCACCGGGGCAAAATTCCTGACACCCACAATTTAAAGGAGAGGTTTATTTCGGCTCAGTTTCAGAGAGTTCAGTCCATGCATGGTCAGCTGACCCCAAGGCACAAGGCACGGATAAAAGGCCCTGGGCAGAAGACACCTACGCAACTCATAGCAGCTATGAAGCACAAATAGAGGAGAGAAGCCAAGAACAAGAATATACCCTAATTCGTGACACTGGTAGACTCTGGAACACAATTTGTCAAACTTGCTTACCGGCTACTGTTACTGAGGGAGCTAGCGCGTCCAGCATGGGCGGTCTCATGGGCAGGAAATCCATCTCATCCAGACCCTAGTTGTAAGGGAGTCCAGGAAAGGTAGGCTCGGTCCCTTAGCCTCTGCAAGCAGGAGGCGGCCGGGATGAATGACAAGTGTGTGGGGGTGGATAACGTCTAGCCTCTCAGTGCTGGGTGGACATCTTAAATTGTTATGGCCAGTGCTTGCTTGATGTGTAAGTAAGCACAGTGAACAGTGCATGCTATAGTAAGGACTTGCTTGCACAATTTTTCATAGGCAGAAGTTGGAGGGCCTGGAAGAAGAAGGAGAAGAAGGTGCTTATCAATGACCTGTTTAAAATGAATTAAAATGTACCAGGCTTACTGCAGGCTTCAGAGCCACTACTATGGCTGTGGCTCTTGTTCCTCGGGTAGGAACACTCTTCCCTAGAGAATACCGCCCTCCCAGCCTCTCTCCCCAGGGTGGAACTGTCACCCAACCCTGCTCCAGTTGCTGTTTTCTCCATAGGATTTATCATCACATATTATGTAATGGGCACAATTATTGAGATCCTGTTTATTATCCTTTCCCCCCTGCCAAAAATATCCTCCATGAAACTTTTGTCTGCTTGGTGTACTGACACATCTAGGAGCGCACGACTGTGTGCGGCACCCACTCGTTACTCAATAAACATATGTTGCTTTTGTCCAAATGTACACACAGAAAATGCGGTAGCAATTTGGCTCCAAGGGCTGTAGAAAAACGAGCGAATTATGTCTCATTACATAAGCATCGTCTCGCCAGTGTGTTAACATTCCAAGACAGCTCCTATGTGTTAGTGTTCCGGTGATGGGGGTATATTGTCCTTCGGCACAATTTTAAAGGTGAAAATACATTTTAGGAATGAAGTGCTCTGAGCTCTTGCCAACATCGCAAACTAACAAGACTGGCTGCCCACTTCCCCTGTGCTGGGAAAGAATATCACAGACAGCTAACTTGGGAGTAGAATGAAAGAAAGTGAGAACCTTGAAAGGGGTCTCGAGCCCCCTTTGGGTTCCCCTTACCCAGTTAGGCCACTCACGCACGGAGAGGTCCGGCAGATTTTTATTATAGGGAGGTGAGCAGGAGGTGGAGGGCAGAGAACGGGGGAGAGAGAGAGAGAGAGAGGAGGAGGAAGAAGCAGAAGGAGGGAGAGGAACAAAGAAAGGAAGGTCCTTTTATCAGTTTTGGGGTGGGCTATTGCTTATTTATGAGGAGTGAGCTACTTTTAACCTATCACAGGCCAGATTGCTTTTATGGGCCCAGTCCTGCAGACACAGGTTTCAACTTTCCTGGACCACTGTGGCCTTGAGCGGGAGGGAAACCAGAGATAAGGGCATGAGGTCATTTTAGGAGCCAAGATGTACCAGGAGAATGCAGCCTGTGAGGCGGCGTCACAGCGTACTTTAACATGATCAATTCCCTAACATTCCCCACTCTTTGATTACTCTTTGATTTGGATGACAATCGACAGCCAACATGTCCATGGCAGGCGGAAAAAGGGGCGGAGAGTCTGTCTTCTATATCTACTTCCTGCTGAATTAGGGCCACGAATCAACCTAGGGGCCGGGGGTTAGCCTGATGTGCAGTTGGCTGTGCTGTCGTTGGACATGGGTGAGCTGACGGTCATTGGAGTTATCTGTAAGAAAAACTTAAACCTCCGGGTTGGTCAGTGAGGAGGGGAACTGAGGCCAGATTTTAGTGGAGGGGAGACTCTAAGAACTGAGGTGAGTCATTTTAGAAATAATGAAGAGTAAAAGGAAAGTGAAAGTCTCAATTTTATCTGGTGTGAACTGACAAAGGGATCCCTGGAGCCAGGCCTCAGAGACCCAACTGGTTATCTGTGGAACCGGACAAGGGTGCGGAGCCATCCAACATAGTGGAACCGGACAAGGGTGCGGAGCCATCCAACATAGATCGGGGAGCAGTTTTTTAGGAACTCTCTGAACCTGGTGAAGATCCAGATGGACAGTTGGTTCTGGAGAGTGATTTCCTTATGAAGGAAGTTTCAGCAATGTTTGGGTCCTGTGTCCTTAGCATCGACTGGTGAGCCATCTGTGTGGAGACCTGGGTGGAGAGCTGGTTAGTGTCCCTGTCCTCAGCAGGGATGTGTTGGTACTGTTGACGAAGTACCATGAGTCTAACTGCATTCATTCTATGTTGAATGAAAGCGGTTAGTCTGTTAATTATGCAGGGTCCTACCATCAGCAAAATTAAGATCAGAATTAAAGGGCCAGCCAAAGCTGATAGTAATGATGTAAGTCAGGGAGATGAGGTGAACCAGCTTTCATACCAACTTTGGTTATTTAATCCTTTTCTTTTACATTTTTTTAATCTTTCTTGAATCTTTAGCCATTGAATTTTTAACTATTCCTGAATGGTCAGTATAATAGCAACATTTTTCTCCCAGGGCTGCGCACATTTCTCTTTGTTGTTGGAACACTAAATTTATTCCCCTCTTTATTTATAGAGTTACCTCTGCTAAAGAACTTAAAGACTCTTGAAGCCTGTTAATAGATAATTCTATTCTTTTTATATCTTGATCTATAGCTGCCCTCAACTGGTCATATTGATAATGTTGGGAACTAATAGCAGTCACTCCTGTTCAGCTCCTACCAGTCCCATTCCTAACAGTACTGTAAGGGTGATGGCAGTAGCAGGCTCCCTTTTATTTTATTTTATTTTTTTCTGAATTATTATAGCTACTTTGTCAGATTTTCACATTGCCTTAAATAACTATATTATATTCTATTTTAAGTGTGCCCTGTGCTGTGAGAAGACCACACCCGTATAGACTGCCATAGATATACCAACTGGCAATCAGGAATCTGTATAAACATTTACCCTCTTTCCTTTTGCCCATCAGAGAGCCTGTATGAGTGTCCCTAGCTCTGCTCATTGAGCTGACCATCCAGTGCGGAGGGGTCCTGCTTGGACCACTTCATCTTGAGTCACCTCTGCATAGCCAGCATAGCGTACCCCATTTTCTATGAAGTTGCTCCCATCCTTGAACAGGATGAAATCAGCTTCAGTCAGTGGGTCTATCTGCAGATCTAGATGACTGGAGAACAATTCGTCAGTGATCCTGAGGCAGTTGTGATCAGGGGGCCAGGTTCCGAGGGCAAAAAGTAGCAGGGTTTAAGGTTTTAACTGGAGCAAAATATAGGTGGGGATTCTCACAGATGAGGGCCTGATATAATGTGACTATTATTTGAGAGCCATCAATGTCCTGTTATTCAATAGTTCTAAAAGGCATGGGGAATGAACAAATTATTTTTTTCTAATGTTATCTGGTTAGCTTCCTTATTAGCATCACTGCAGTTGTCAGGGCTTATGAACAAAGAGCCATCTCTTTATAGCTGGATCTAAACTCTAAGATAAATATGTCACTAGTTAATTTTATGGACCTACTCCTTGAGTGAGCACCTCTAAAGCAGTATGATTTCTTTCAATCGTGTACAAAGCAAAAAGCTGGGTCACTTTAGGATCCCTAATACAGGGAGCAACAGAGAGAGTTAGTTTTAGCTGTTTAAATGTTGATTCTTGTTCTTTACTCTATAATAATCGCTGTCTTTCTGACCCGTTAAAGATTTATACATATAGAGAATCTAGATCCTGTAAAAATCTTTTATCCCAAAAATTTTCTCACCTGCTTTAAGTCCTTTTATCTCCAAGCAGCATAGACTTTATATCTTGCCTTCTGAAGCAACATTAATAAGCTGCCGTTTGGCTGGGAAGAAAAATATAAACGTCGATCTGTTTTAGAAATCGACAGGAGCGATTAACATGCATAGGAATCATAATAACTGCAGGTAACCACTAAAGAAAATCTTAAAGTCATAATTTGTGAAAGGATTAGAAGAAAAAGTATCAGTGTCATTAACGGTAGAAGTAGGGGAGAACCAAACATGAAGGGCAGGGTTCCGTTGCAGACAAGAGAGCCCATGCAGCAGACAGGAACAGAGCGGGTGGACCGTAGGGATTAGCTCGGTTTCAGGCTCATTGGAAAGGCCTGAGCTTCCAGGAATAAGCCTGAATCCCACTGCAAAGCGGTCAGGCAGGGGAGCGCCTGCCACTGCCGCTGACCCGGGGGCCGCGGTGCCCAGGCTGCCACCCGGAAAGCTGCCAAGGCATGAAGTTGCTGATGCTCTGCTCAGGGCCTGACACCAGGACCTGCACTGCAGCTGCCGCAGAAGAAGCCAACCGCTTCTGCCACCGGAACTGCCTCGCGGACACCTCCACGCGGCGCTCAGCTCTTCCTCCTCTGCTGGTTTGTCTGTCTTCTCGGCAGAAGCCAAGCGAAGTGGGCGTTCTAGTTTCACGAGAGCCTGGAAATGCCATTCGTGATCTTTCAGCCTTCATGGTACAGAAGACCATGACGGCCAGGCATGGTGGTTCCTACCCGTAATTCCAGCACTCTGGAAGGAGGAGGACGAGGTGGAGGAGGAAGAGGAGGAGGAGGAGGAGGAGGAGGAGCCAGGAGGCTCCAAAGGCATCGTGTAGAGCTGGCAGGCAGTATTTGACACAGTCTACGCCTTACTTATTCAGTCTCCATTTCCGTATACTTCCTTAGAACCAACACAAAATGCCCCTGCCCAATCTAAGTCAGTCTGCGTCAGGCAAGCAGGAGCAGCCTTCCTCTCTCTCCGAGGTGGGCACCCACAGCCCCGGCAGCTGCTGCACCCCGCTCCTGCTCCAGGCAGTCTGGCTGATGTTCCCTTCTCTCATCCGCTCACAATCCCATCAGAGTGGTCCGTGTTGTGTCCTAAATTGAAAGGTTTCACACCAATAAATTCCCCCATGCAAAATGGTAGAGGAAGAAATCGGACAATTAGCTACACCGACAAAATATACGCATGACAGTAAGGACGTGAGAACATACAGGTAAGCACTCATTTCTGCCACAGGTCTAGAGGCATTTATAACATCCTTTCTTTGTTGTTTTTGTTTTTCTGGTACTGGGGATCGAACTCAGGTCCTTGTGTTTGCAAGGCAGGCTGCGGAACCACTGAGCTAAGTGTCTGGCCCTATAATATCCTTTCTTTACAACTCATTCCATCGTCCCTTTGGCCCCAGCTTGTCCTGCTCATACTCGGTTGCTGTCACCTTCTGTTAACTTTTACCAGCAGCCATGGAATTAGAAGGCAACCAGAGGACTTCAGGGAATCTGAAAACACAATTCTCCTCCTTCCCACTGTGTAACAGCGAATGTATTTGACAACCAGAATCAATTACTGCAGCCAACAAAGAACTTATTCCACCCCCCCCACAATTTCTGCCTTCTGTTCACCTGGCATGAGGAGTCTGAAATAGGCAGACGTGTGTCTTAGCTTCGGAATCAGTGACACCTCTGCGGTGCACCATGTACCGTGGTGGAAATTTTTCTCCTTTGGATACTTGAGCCTCCACACTAGAGACCAAGGTCTCAGGAAGAGAAGCAAAAATGTCAGGAATGTGTTAACTTTCTGTTGCTGAGACCAAAATACCTGGCATATACAACTTCAAAGAGGAGAGGTTCCAGAGGCTCTAGTTCATGGTCCAGAGCAGAAACATCATGGTGCAAGGGTGGTGGAGGACAGCTTTTCACCTCGTGGCAACCAGGAAGCAGAGATCAAGGGAAGGGCCAGAGAGGGAGGGAGCAGGGACACGACAAAGTCACATCTCTAGTGACCAACTGAGCCCCACCTCCTAACAGCACATTCAGCTATGAACTCACTGATGGATTAATTAGTCCACTGAAGAGGTGAACACCCTCATGACCCTGCCACCTCTCCAGGCCCCACTTCTGAACATTGCTGCACTGGGACTCAAAACCGCAATACATGGATCTTTGGGGGATGCTTCATGCTTACACCATTACAAGGAGGAAATTAGCCAGCCCAAGATTCCTTGGCCCATGAACTCTGATAGAGAGAAACTTTCCCTCACATTGGGGACTGATGGAGAGAGCACAAGCCAAATCCTTTGTTCTAGACACATGGGAGGTTGTCACTCAGACTACACTAACCAGATCCCAATAGATCACGCTAGCAACTCCCAAAACTAGATCACTCGGGTAATAAGGGCATGTGACAAGACCACCGAATCTCATGCTTACCTGGAAAATTCTTTACTTCTTTTGCTGAAAAATGAAGTTTCTGGTCAAAAGCAATACTGTCTGGACATCTGTGACTATTAAAAGACATTCAGTAAGCCAGGCGTGGTGGCGCATGCCTGTAATTCCAGCACTCCAGAGGCTGAGGCAGGAGGATCGCTGTGAGTTCAAGACCAGCCGGGGCTGCATAACAAGTTCCAGGTCAGTCTCAACTGCATAGTGAGACCCTGTCTCAAAAAACAAAAACAAAAACAAAAAAAGACATTCAGTAAATCTGTCTGATGTTACTGGCAGAGGCACAGCAGACAGAAGCAAAGCCATACTTGAATCAGTGTCTATTCCAGGGAAGACCAATATGCAACCTCAGTAGCGAAAGGAATCCAATATAACAAGCTGCCACCAGATGGCAGGCTGGTCCTCTCCTGATGGGTACCACATTGGAGGCACAGAGCCATTGCTTTTGACAGCTGGGCACTCAGCTGTGATAGAAAGACTAAGACACAGAATGCTAATAGAGACTCAGTGGGCCTCTGCAGTAACAAAACCTTGTTTTATTCAGACCAGTGATGTACCTGGCCAAAAGAAAAAAAAATTCTGGCTTCTCTGTTACCAGATGAGACCACACAACTAAATTCTGGTCCATGAAACGTAAGTGAAGATTCACCCTTTTCACCCTTCCGTCATTTCTCCTTCTTGCTGCTTGGAATGAACCTGGGAAAGCTAAATCACCAATAGCCATGTCGGAACTTGAGGTGAACTTCAAGATGGAAGAGACAAACTGAAAGGTGGAAACTGGGTCTCTGATTACTAAGGAGTCACTACACCAGTTCTAGACTAAAAGGCAGATAAAATTGCATCTGATTTAAGCCACTATTATTTTGTTTTCTACAATTTCAGTCAACCCCAATTACAACTCATACATAGAGGAAATAAGAGGGCAGAGGGAAAGTCAGAAATACAGGAATAATCACAATAAGTGTAAATGGATTGATTATCTGATCAAAAGACAGAGACTTCCAGGATCGGGGATTTAGCTCAGTGGTTCTACAGCCTGCCTCACAAACACAACGTCCTGAGTTTGATCCCCGGTACCCACACCCCCCAGAAAAAGATACTTCTAGAATAAAGTGATACATCATTTGTAACACAATCGCTTAGAGGCATGGTAGTATATGCCTTTAATCCCAGCACTTCAGAGGCTGAGGCAGGAGGATCTCTGGGAGTTCAAGGCTAGCCTAGGCTACATAGTGAGTTCAAGGCCAGCCTGGACTATAGTAAGAGCCTGTCTCAGGAAAAACAAACAAACAAACAAAACCCACAATTACTCAGAAAAAGATATAAAGATTAAAAATAAGCAAATGGTTCTTATCTTGGGGTCCGTGGAGTCCATGAACCTGGAAGAAAAAAAATATACTTTCACTTTCACTTACTGCTACCTAAAATTTAGCCTCCCTCTCATTTATAAATGTGGATAGCAGGGCTGGGGATATAGCTCAGTGGCATAGCACTTCCCCGGCCAGTTCAAAACCCTCAATTCAATTCCCAGTAATGGGTCAGGAATTTAGCTTAGTGGTTCTGACTCCTGCCTCACAAGCACAAAGGCCCAAATTCAATGCCCAGTACAAAAAAAAAAAAAAATTCCAGGTAACAATAGCAACAGCAAAAAAATGTGGATAACAAATCAGTATTATTAGCAAAACCTGTGACTGCAACTCCAATATAAATTATAATTGCATTCATATCACTTATTGCAATATCTCTAAATATCTTTTACTCCTATCATTGCTTCAAAATCACAATAATAAGGCCAGAGATTTAGCTCAGCGGTTCAGCCACCTGCCTTGCAGCATAAGGTCACAAGTTCAATCCCTTGTACCGGAAAAAAAAAATCACAATAACTAACTGGCCAGTTTTGATCATGTTTTTTAGTGCATTAATTTAACAGTATACATAATATATCACAACTATTTTAATTATTCTGATAACTATCTTAATACAAAGTTTGCTTTTTTTGTGGTACCGGGAATCAAACGCAAGACCTTGCACTTGTAAGGCAGGCATGGTTGTCACTGAGCTAAATCTCAGGCACAAAGCTTGCTTTTTAATTCTAAGCATTTTAAAACATTTTTTTTTAAACAAGGTTTCACTTATGTTGTTCAGGCTGGCCTTGAACTCACTATGTACCCCAGGATGGCCTCAAAATCTAGGCAATCTTCCTGCCTCAGCCTCCCAAGTGCTGGGATTATAGGTGTGCACCACCATGCCAGGCCCTAAAACATTATTTTGAAAAGGTGTTCGTAGTTGCCAAATGGGTATGTGGTGCAAGAAAGGGCAAGAACTCCTAAAACAAAAAGATTCCAAGACTATTAAAATTAGTTCCAGTAAAAAAAACGATATAAACTATTGTATTAGTCACTTTCCCATTACTGGGACAAAATACCTGACACGCATAATTTAAAAGATGAGAGGTTTATTTTGGCTTATGATTTTAGAGAGTTCAGTCCATAGTTGGTTGGCTCCCAAGCCAAAATGACATGGCACAAGGGTGTGAGTCTAACTGAACTAGAGCGACTCCATGTTGACCAGCAAACGACCTAGAGACTGTCACCCCCCCATCCCTTATAGGATAACTAATGTTCAATTGTGAATTGTTAGGTAACTGCTTAGAAGTAGCTGGGAAACTAAATGAAAACTGTAGTGAACATAGAGACCCAACATCAATCACGCCACTCCTTACTTGCCTGTGGTTGAATGTTCTGAACATCATAAACTAAGTTGTAAATGGAACAATGGATAATCGATCTGCTGATCAGTAGTATGTAACGGTCGAGTATATGATTGATGACCATCAGTTCAGATCAACTGATTCTTTGCCTGATTCTTTGCTTTTGTCCCCTTCCTGTAAGTTTTGAGTGTAAACCCCCCTCCATAGCCCTATATAAAATGGCCTCTGTTTCTGAGCTAGCTGCCTCTCTGAGCTACTTGGCTCTGGGAGTGCCATCTGGCCAGACTAATAAAGGTCTATTTGCCAACTTGCCTGGTGTGTTCCTTCCTGGGTAACTCTCGCTGTCCGACAAGCTCCTGGAGCCTCGCTGAGCTTTTGGGCCCAGC